TCTATTGTTTTTCTTGGCTAATTAGGCCAAGGGCTCCAGGAAGTATAGAATGGTGGATGTATGCTAGCCCTACTCTAGTTATTTGTCAAAACTAAAAATTGTTCCTTTTGCTGTAGAGGCAATGGGGCCAAATCTATGTAGTCCTATATGTACATTACTTATAAATTCTTATGTTAGAAGATGGTCTCATATTTTTTTACAGCTCCAAAATTCTCTTCATTCTCCTTTAGTCCCATAATTTTTAGAGATGAGGAAACATTGCTTTGTTCAAAGAGAGCTAGAACTAGAACATAGGCTAATACTTGCTAACCACGCTATGTGCTAGTGTCAGCCAAATATGGGCATTCATTTCTATCACTTCCAGATTTCAGATCACTGTACTTACTAATACTATATAATACCATTTAAATTGCTTACCTCTTGAAAGTTTATTTTAAAAGGAACATTTTACTACTATAAATGGAAAATTATCACTTCCTAAAAATACAAAGTAACTCTAAAAAGGAGTCCAAATCAAGACGAAGCTATGCTATTAAAATTTAATTTAAACTTTAAATTTAATTCTTATTATTACATTTTTAATTCTTACTGTTCTTGGTCAGAAATGTGTCAAAACGGTGTTTTCCTATTTGATGGCAGTACCTTAATTGTCTAATAAGAAAGGCACAGTTAAAGCTTCTAATTAAGCTTTGCTTAGCGTTTTGTTATAATAGGATGCTTCTTTATGGGGGAAATAAGAAGGTATGAATTCTTGTTCATATTAAAGTATGATTTAACACAGATCAGAAGGTCTTGTTAGATGGAACCAAAATTGTTCTTTAGTTAATTTGAATTAATTCGTTTTAAAACTCTTAAATTTTTACACTGAAGATTTTAGTTAGCTTTATATTGTTTCTTTTTCCAAATGAGAGATATGATCAGAATAGTTTATTTTACTGAAATAAAACATTTCTCTGGGGAGAAATTCATCTGGGGAGATGCAAGGAGTTTATAGTATATCTGAATGGAGGAGGTGTATGTTTTATTTAAATAGTTCTTAAGCATGGGGGTACCTGGTTGGGTCAGTTTGTTGCACGTCCACCTCAGCTCAGGCCATGATCTCACGGTTCGTGGGTTCAAGGCCTGAGTCAGGTTCTGCACTAACTGCTCAAAGCCTGGAGCCTGCTTCAGATTCTATGTCTCCCTCTCTCTCTGCCCCTCCCCTCTTTGTCTCTCAAAAATAAATAAACATTTTTAAAAAGAAATAGTTCTTAAGCATGTTTTATTTCTTTAAAATAATTTAGTGTTTTTCAAATTTACTAATAAAAATTAGTGTGTTTATCTGAATTGTTGGTCTAAATGTGTATTTCAGTTACAAGAGATAAAAGAGGGTGAAAATGGCTAAGCCTTTTCCTTTTGCTTGTTCTCATTCACTGGGCTACAAATGTTGTTGTCTGTGTTGTCTTCTCTCTGAAAGTGCTGCTATAGAAGCTGTATTTCACTGTACTGTAGAAAGGCATTTTTTTTTTCATGAGTTTCCTGTGAAAACTGTTGGTGGATGTAAAAAACCAGGAGACTTTCATGGGTTAGCTAGTAAGAGTTTTGTTGTAAAACCTTTGTAACAGGTCTAACAAGAAGACCATAAAGAGAATAGATGTAGGAATACCTGATCCCATTAAACTGCTGATAAAGTAGACAGGCTAGTATTATGAGGATTGTTTATAGTAGCAGTTTTTGTGGCTTATCAGAAGTGTTAGTGTTGTTATCCATATGTGTGTCAAATTTATATTTTTTAATAAGGCTTTTTTTCTCTTTCTTTTCTTTCTTTCTTTTTTTTTTTTTTTTAATATATGAAATTTATTGTCAAATTGGTTTCCATACAACACCCAGTGTCTTTTTTTTTTTTTTTAAAGAGTGAGAGCACTTGTGAGCCAGGGAGAGGGGTGGGAGGTGAGGGGAGAGAATCTTAAGGAGGTCCCATGCTTAGCACAGAGCCTGATGTAGGGTCTCAATCCCATGACCCTGAGCTGAAATCAGGAGTCAGATGATCACCTGATTGACTCATCCAGATGCCCCTTAAATTAAGCTTTTTAATTTGAGGTCATTGCAGATTCCTATGCAGCCAGAAGAAATAATACAGAGATTTTGTATACCCTTTACACAATTTTCCCCAATGGTAATATCTTGCAAAACTATAGTAAAATATCACAACCAGAATATTGACACTGGTAAAGATACAGAACATGTCCATTCACCACAGGGGTCCTTCCTATTGTCCTTTTGTAGCCACACCTACTTCCCTTTTACTCCCACCCCCTCCTTAACTCCTAGCAAGAATTTATCTGTTAACCATTTCTATAGTTCTGTCATGTCAAGAATGTTACGTAAATAAAATCATTTGTGTAACCCGTTGAGGTTGGCTTTTTTTACTCAGTATCATTCTCTAGAGATTCATCCATGTTATTTCATATACCAGTAGTTTGTTCCTTTTTATTGCTGGGTACTATTTGACAGCATAGATGTATGACAGTTTAATCATTCACTCAGTAAAGAATATCTGGATTGGTCCCAGGTTTTGGCTATTATGAATAAGGTTGCTATAAAGATTCATGTACAGGTTTTGTAACATAAGTCTTCATTTCTCTAGGATAAATGTCCAGGTGTGCCATATATAATTGTCTTAAATATTTCCTTTACATACATTTAGAACCACATCAGATGGTGTTAATTTTTGCTATAACTTTCAGACATAATGTAGAAATTCAAGGAAAGGAAAGCGTATTGTATTTACCCATACTTTTACTTACCATGTTGTTTCTTCTTTTCTGATGTTCTAAGGTTCTTCTCTTTTATCATTTCTCTTCTTAGAGAATTTACTCTAGCCATTCTATTAGAGTAGATCTGTTGGTGACAAATTTTCCCTCACCTGAGACTGTCTTGATTTCTCCTCCATTTTTGCTGGGTATAAGATTCTGAGTTGACAGTTGTTTTAGCACCTGAAAAAAATAAGCTACTTTCTTATGGCTTCCATAGTTTCTGGTAAGAAATCCACTGTCATTCTAATTGCTCTTCCCCCCTCCCCCTCACCCCCTAAGTAAGATGTAATTTCTCTTTCTTTCTGATTGCTTTCAAGATTTTCTTTGCCTTTAGTTTCAGAAGTTTAATTATGATGTATCTTGGAGTAGATTTTTTCAGGTTTATGCTGTGTGAGATTTGTTTAGCTTCTTGAATATGTGTTCCTCCTTCCAAATTTGTTAAGTTTTTGGCCATTATATTTTTGAATACTTTTTTTTAGCTCCATTCTTTCTCCTCTCTTTCTGGGTTCCAGTGATACAGACATTAGATCTTTTGCTGTGGTCCCACAAATCTATGAGGCCCTGCTCTTCCTTTTTCTTTCTTTCTTTCTCTCTTTCTTTCTTTCTTTCTTTCTTTCTTTCTTTCTTTCTCTCTTTTCTTCTCCTTTCTTCTTCTCTCTTCTTTCTTATTCTTCTCCTATTTTCTCTCTTAAGATTAGGTAATTTCTATCTTCTGGTTCACTGATTCTTTATTATGTCCCTTCTATTCTGCTGGTGAGCCCGTACTAAAAAGTGAGCTTTTAAATCTTGTTTGTTTGTTTGTTTTGTCAAGACTTTCTATTTTTTGTCCCATGTATGTTTGTGATTGCTTACTAAACCATTTTTATCATAGTTGGTTTAAAATCTTTGTCAGGTAATTCTGACATCTCTGTCATCTCAGCTTTGATATTTATTGATTATTCTTTTTGCATTGTCTTAAAAATCTTTCTAGTTCTTACTATGATGAATGGTTTTCTGTTGAAACCTAGACGTTTTGTCATTATGTTCTGAGACTCTGGATGTTATTTAAATCTGCTTCCACTGTCTTTTTCTGACACTGCTTTGGCAGGGGAATAGGGACTGCCTCCTTATTACTTCCAGGTAGACCTAGAACTCCAGGTCCCATACTCAGCCTTCATTGACACCCAAGGGAAGGAGATCCTTGTTACTGTCAGATGAGGGTAGAAGTCCAGGCTCCCCATATGGTCTCCACTGACATAGCTAGAGTAGGGGTGAGGACATGTTACCAACCAGAAGGGTGGAAGTCCTGGCTCCCTACTTGGCTGCCCTTACAAATACCTTGGTTGTCAGGGGCAAGGGACTCTTTATTATGGCCTTCTGAGGTGGAAGTCAAGGCTCCCCATTTGGCTCTTGCTTGTGTGGGCAGTGGTAGGGCCAGTGATTTCTGTGGTGGTTGGCTGCAGTAGACTAGCTATTGTCAAAAGTTACCTGTCTTGCTAAGGCTGCCCCTTTCTCCTTCCTTTAACTAGAGTGAACAAGCTTTGGAGGTGGCTTTTTTTTGTCTCTGCCAATTGACATTTCCAGATTGCTGGATTCTCTTCAGCTCTAAGTCTGGGATATATTAAGCAAAAAGAAAACCCAGAGAACTCAGCACTTTGTCGTTCCTTGTGCCCCAAGGTCCCTAGCTGGTCACCTTCTCTACTTTTCAGAGTCTTCCTATATTTTATATATAATATCCAGAGTTTTTAGTTGTAGTTAGTGCAAATAATAGGGAAAAATACTCCTACTCTATCTTCCTAGAAGTGGAAATTTCCAAATTTACATTTTTAAACTATTTAAACAGTTGGACCAAATATATAACCACTCTTCGGAAAAATGTCACACACCTTCTATATAATGTGATATATTTTGCATAATATTGTACTCACAAGGACTGCTAGAAAATAACATCTTTAATTTTTTTTAATGTTTACTTATTTTTGAAAGAGAGGCAGAGTGTGAGCAGAGGAGGGACAGAGAGAGAGACAGACAGACAGAATCTGAAGCAGGCTTCAAGCTCTGAGCTGTCAGCATAGAGTCCCATAAGGGACTTGAACCCATGAACCGTGAGATCATGATCTGAGCCAAAGTTGGATGCTTACCCAGCTGAGCCACCCAGGTGTCCCAACATCTTTATTTTAACTGAAATTCATTGTTCATATTATTAATGAAAACTTTTCCCTCTAGGAGATAATGCTAAAGGTGTCCAAGGCTCCTGACCAGTGAACAAAGATTTGAGAAAGACAGCCAAGCTCATGTTTTCTCCTGATCAAGAAAATCATCCATCCAAAGCACCAGTAAAATATGGTGAACTCATTGTCTTAGGGTAAGTTTTCCCCATCTGATGACACATAAAACTGAATAATAGGTAGTAATTTTGGCATCTAAATCAAACCTTTTTAGAATGTATTTCCTACCTATTTCCAAAAACAATTTAGAGCTACAAGGTAATATTATCTCAAAATAATGTTGATAATATTAAATCAAGAAACTCTTTCAATTCTCATTTTTATGCCATCTCTTATAAGTGCTCTAATACGCATAAATTTTGCCTCACCCTCACCCCCAGAAAGCACAAATCCTCTTAAGATAAAATAATGTATTTATCTAAAGTCATATAGTCATTACATTTGTCTTCCCTATCCTATCTTTTAGAAAAGTTTGCCTCAGCTGTCTTTACCAAAATCCCTTCCCCCCTTGAGGTCATTTCACATAGGTTAGCATTTATTTGTTACTTTATACCTCTGAGGAAGTTGTTGCTTTGGGCTTATGGCCCTGTGCTGCTTATGATAGGGTTGTATAGACATAATGATACGATGACTTTGAAGGCCAGGATCTCACTACTTATTTGCTTCCTAAGTATTCTCATGCATTTACATAAACACAGTCTAAAGATTGAGGAACAAATGATTCCATTATTTCAATTTATTCAGTCTAAACTTGCATTAATCAAAACAGAGACACAATACTAGTCTACTAGCTAGAAATCTCAGAAACTAGAAATTGCAAAATTTACTTTCCCTTTCTCTTCTGTCTAGAAAAAAGCTCTCTGTACATCACAACATGCTTTAGAATCAGGTTGGTACAAGTTCTTGTTTAAGTGAGAATGTGTCCATTGTTTCAGATGAGAGAGTAAAAGAAACTAGACAGATCATACGGAGTTAATGACCTTGACTGGAAGTCAGGAATGCTACATTCCAGTACCTATTCCAACATTGCTATTATATATGACCTTGGGCAAGTTACTTAACCATTCTAGGCGTTAGGTTGCTCTTCGGTAAAATGACAGACAAGATCATCTAAGACCCTTTGAGACCTAAAAATAAAAACAACTTAAAAGATTAGAAACTTATGTAGTAACTACAATGTTATAATTTCAAATCACATAGATCTTAATGTATTAATAACAAAGAGCTTTTAAGTACCAAAAAATATTCCAAATTAAATTCTTTTGCCAGGAAATTTGAGTCCTTTGAAGACTAGAATTGATTTTTTTTTTTTTTTAATGTGCATAAACACAAGCAGTAGAGGGGCAGAGGGAGAGGGAGAGAGAATCCCAGGCAGCGATTCAACTCCCAGGAGTTGGATACTCAACTGACTGAGCCACCCAGGCATCCCTGAAGACTAGAATTTAAAATTGAGTATATGGTTTAAACTGCCTTTCTTAGCCCAGCAGTTTCTCATTTAACCCTCAGTTAGTGGTTGTCTCTGCATTGGCACTCTTGGTGTCTTAAAATACAAATAGTACTTTTCAGCCCCCTAGGAGAAATAAAGCTGGATATGGTTGTCAGTTTGGTGTTGTCACTACTTAGAAAAGAGCTTTGAGCGATGGTAACTCAATGAGGGAGGGGAGCATATTCCCAGAAGAGAAACAAGTCATGCAACTTGGCAGACAGAAGGGTCAGGTACCCACAGTGGGTCTGGTGGCAACACACATCCTGGAATGAGTAGTGTATTAACTAAGGGGCACTGCTCTGAACTCTGATTAGCAAGGACTTTCTCCAATAGAAATCAGTGTGTTTAGTTTTGTGTAAAGAGTTAGTATAATTTCTGTATGTGGCAGTGTAAGTTTCTTCCTCTTCCTTCTCAGCCACTAATGTAGGCCATTTTGCAATTATATTCTCCTTCAACCTCAAAACTGGCCCTAGTCCCTGCCTCATTTTCCCTCAGATTGACCAACTATATATGAGAGACTAGCAAACCAAAGGTTTTGTCAGAGGGCATGGGACAGTAAATGAGGAGATTATTATTAAGGCACTGTTCGTGCCATAATGAAGCAATAAAGAATGAAAAAAGCATGACAAACACCTGGATTCAAATCCTAGTTTTTCCATTATCACTTGTGTGACCTTCAGAAAATGGCTTAATTTCTCTGAGCCTCTAAGGAATCTTATTCCTCTGAGGAATAACTTAATTCCTAACCTGTAAAGGTTGAGTGATGCCAATCTCAAGAGTTTCTATGAGGATAGATTAAATGAGATGTTATGTGGTAAAGAACACAATAGTGCCTAATACATAGTAAACACCCAGTGTTTTGGTGTGAACTTCTTTCCTATTCAGTCCTCACTTACTTGCTTATTTTCAAGACATATATATGTTATCATGGAGAAATGATTACGAGATCTGAACAACAAAAGTATATTTAATCACTACTTATCAGGCATCTCCTTTGGACAGGTTTTGCCAATGTGTATGTGAATGTGTATGTGTGCATTCAAGTCACTGAGACTTATCAAACAAATCTAAAAACTCTCAAAAATTAAGCTATTTAAATGACAATTAAAGGAGATTCTGTTTTAGACAATTCATACTGGACTTTTTTAAAGGTTGTATTAGCACATGCAAATATTTACCTTTAAAAGATACAGAATGAGTCCTAAGGAATCAGATATGCCATTAATCAGCTCTTGATTATCTTGAATAAAAGAGGGAAGAAAAATACATATAACTTAAGACTATTTATAATCCAAAAAATACTTCTTTGTGACTTGGAATGTAACCAAAATCTCATTTTGTTTCATACTCGTAGACAGCTGGTCTTGGGATCAGCAGTGACTAAATGGAATTTGAGATACTTACAATGTGCTAATAAATGATTAATTGGGGATTGATTCTTATCATAAGGCAAAAGTAAAGCATTTAATTTAAAATTGTGTGGTTCTTAAAAGAGATCACCTAGACTTTTTCCCTCCACCAGGTATAATGGATCTCTCCCAAACGGCGATAGAGGAAGAAGGAAAAGTAGGTTTGCTTTGTTTAAAAGACCTAAGGCAAATGGGGTGAAGCCCAGCACTGTGCATATTGCTTGTACTCCTCAGGCTGCAAAGGTAAAAAACAAACAAACACAGATTAAAATAAATCTGTTAACTTGGAGAAATTGAAAGACACGTACATGTTGTTTATATTCTCTAGCATTCACTTCACATTCTGTACCAGAAGTTTCCTTTTGTTTGGATGGGAGAAGACTCTTTGGAGACATAATATTTGGAGGGCTGCCGTATGGAAGGGCATCAGACTTTTTTTTTTTAAGTGACACACCAGGATCAGTGGGTGGAAATTAGAAGGAAACATTCCCTTTTCTTATTTAAAAAAAAAAAAAAAAAAAAAAAGGTTTGGGCCAGGGCTTCCACTATTACCAAAGGAGGTCTTGCCTGGGCTGGGCAAGGAATGTAGTATATAATAAGCATACTCAGGTTCTAGAAGCATAGTTTGGATGAGGTGATTTTTCTAAAGTAAGGGTCTTTATCAGAGATTCTGTGTACGCTCATATGTTTTGTTTGCTCATTTTATGACCCTCATAGCTTTTTTTTGCTTTTTTTTTTTTTATTTTTTTATTTTTAGCACTAGCAGGACAAAGGGGCAGAGGTCAGGGGTGGGAGAGAGAGAAAATCTTAAGCAAGCTCCATGTTCAGAGTGGAGCCTGATGCGGGGCTTGATCCCATGACCCTGGTGACCATGGTGACCATGATTTCGTGACCTCAGCCAAAATCAAGAGTCTCCTGACACACCCAGTTGCCTCTGACCATCATAGCTTTTAATATAGTGCCTTGAACAAAGTAGACCTCAGTAATTATTAAAATGAATCAAAGCTGTAAAAGCAAATACCCAGCTGTATCTACAGTTTAACTTCTCAGTCTCCTCACATATTTAATGCTCTTAGCTCCTTTTTCTTTCCTTATCCAAATCTCCAGAACTGGGCCCTCATTTCAGAACACTTGGGCTTTTCCTGGAGTGATAGACAATTAGGGGGAATTTCAAATCTTTACATTTCTATGAATTCTTCTACTTCCAATTTTGTAACACAAACTGTATTTGATATCGTGTTGAATGAATAAAAATTACAAAGTGTTTCTGAGCTTCTGGAAATACCTGTGTTTTTAGCTAAGCAGCCCCAGGATGTGCATCAGTATTATACCATCTGAGGCATATCTTTGTCAGCTAAATAAATGAGAGAGAAATTGACATGTGATGACTTGTTTTAGGTCATAACTCCAGTCCTGAAGTTAATTGGATTTGTTTGTGTCCAGTGTAGTGTCTAGAACAGTCCTCTTGCCTTGACGAGGCCTTCTCTATTACTGTTTGAGACCCAGTAAATGTAGAAAACCATTTCTTTTAAGTCTCTTTTTGCAGAGAAGGGATGTGCTAAGCAGGTAGTGAAAGTGAACGGCTAATTGATCCAACCTGAGGAACTTTATTCCAGAATTGCCTCTGCAGGAGTGCTATTGCATTTTGGGTGTGCCATTTCTATGCAGGATTATCCTGTATATTGCAGGACATTTAATATTCTTGTCCCAACCACTAATGCCATTTAAGCCTTCAAATCATTGTGACAGCCAAAATATGTACCTACATATTTCCAAGTGCCCCTTACACAGCTAATACTATCTGTGGTTGAGAATCACTATCATAGGGAAAATATTTCTGATCCCACTTTTAAAATACCCTATTCTGGCAGTCATCTAGGATATGATTAAACCCTGCTTTTCAGTCCAGTGAGAACTTAACTTGACATAGTTCTTATTCTTAATCTAAGAGTAGGTTTAATAGCTAAAAAAAAGCCAGGGATTACAGTCTCAATGTACACAAAACCCTGTGTTTTCAAATCTCTTTAGCCATTAAGAATTCACTTCTAAGGTTCTGGGCAACTATTTGATTGAAAAATCATTGGTTTGTGCTGAATTAAAGTAATTCTAGGTTTTAAAGCCTGTAAAACGATTATATAATGTTTATTTTTAAAATGTTAACAACGTGCATGGGAATGGATCTACAGTGCATTTAATGAGGTTGGATACCTCTGAAGAGAGGAGAGTAAGAAGAACATGTAAGCAGCATTGATATTACCTGTTGAATTTAATTTCTTTTAAGAAATCAGAAGTAAAAGTGGCATTATTATGCTTTGATAGAGCTGGGTAGTTGGTACCCGGGTGTTTTGTTTATTCTCTTTAAATATTTGAAAATTTCACAATCTTAATTAATTTTAAAGCTACTGTTTTAGGGCTTTATCTATTACAGATTACCTACAAATTGAAACCAAGTAAAGATTTATGATACCAAAGTTCTAGTTAAGAAACATTTTTAAATTTAGCTTCTTTGCTGTGTATAATCATTCTTTTCTGTTTTCCTTTTATGCAGTCTGTTTCCACTTCCTTTGTGTAGGTTTTCCCCCTTTCTGATATTATCTTCAACTCATATACATAGAAAACGCCTGAAAAGAAAACCAAAAAGTTCTTTTTAGCAATGTTTTTAGTTTGGGATAAGTCAGAAGTACAGTCGTAAGCATTATGTCCATTTCCTTTGGTAATGTTTAATCATTCTATGAATTTTTCCATATTTGGCCCAGCGTATGGCAAATATTTGTCATCTATAGAGCCACGGAATGGTTAAAACCAGTTAACTCTGCTTGTGGTAACTTAATATAACTCTTTGAGTTACTTTAAAAATAATTTTCTTCATTATCTTGAAAAATACTGTATTTTCTCCTTATTAGAACAGTATTCAGTACTGTTTTCAGTTTCTACATGGGACTTGATTTTGATTATTTTATCATTTAAAATATTTGGAAGGGAGATCCATATTTTATAGTGTTTTTATACAATGAAATTATGTTCTTACTCTAACTTCTTCAGATTATTTTTACACCCCACTCGACCCAAGAAGCTACTGTCACAGCTGAGGTTATGGAAGAGTTATTTTCTCCCTTAAATTTTAGGAGAAAATATGTCAAGTATGTAATACATTACTTTTCTTTTTAAAATTTGATTTGATTACCCTACCAGCTAATTTTTGCTATTAATCTTTTCTTTCTTAGGCAATAAGCAACAAGGACCAGCACAGCATATCGTATACCTTATCTCGGGCCCAGACAGTAGTGGTTGAATATACTCATGACAGCAACACTGATATGTTTCAGGTATTATGACATCTGAATTTTTTTTTTCCTTAAAACAAAAAGTTAAAAACATTGTCAGTGTCTTTTCCTGTGTTCAGATTAATGATTACTATATTTTAACCACGTAGTTCATTAAAATATATTTTGATTTCTAAATCTCATATATAGAAGTCAGCATAGCATGGTTAAGAAATGAGCTCTGAAGTCAGAATTCCTAATAAACATTACTTAGCCACTCTATGCCTCAGTTTCCTACTATGAAGTGCAGATAATAGAGCTTCCCTCATAATGACATTTAGGAGGCTTAAATGTGTTAGTACATGTGAAGTGCTCAAAGCTCTGCCAGGTGGCTGGTAAACACTTAGCTATTAATAATAGTAGTTATAATAATAGTTCAGTTAGCTATTATCCCAAAAAAGGAACCAAGAAATATTCTGCACATATTTATGACCTTTTTTGCCACTATTTCCCACTTTGCTCTCAAGGCAACAAAATGTATGGGCAGTCTGTAACTGTCCATATCATGTATGTGTCAGGCTTGTTTTCCAGCACATATTTGCTCCAAGCTACTACTGATGCAGTAAAAGGTTTTTTTCTCTCATTTTTGTACCAGTCCAGTGCTGATTGGTACATTGGTAAACTTGATATATGATAGAACAGTCAAACCAAAAGATGAAAACTAAAATCATGGTCTTCTCCTTTATTTGGTTTTGTAAAGCCCTGGGTTTTTTGGAAACAAATAGGACATTACTAGTACCTGATAATGTTGCTCTTATAATTACTGTCCCAGTGACTTTGCAGTTTTTCTTTATTTACAAGATTGAATGTGGAAAGGCCTGGGATGTCTTTAATTATAACCAGTAACAAAATATTTCTCTGAAGTCACTCACTGCCCTTCTAATAGAATACTGAATTTTCTAGAATAGTGTCTCTGTAGTTAATATTAGAATATGGTTGTATGTTTATGTCTTTCTTGCTTTTCCCAAAAAAATTTAAAATAAATAACACCCTTAATGAAGATGAAGGTTGGGATCTTAATGAGAACAAGCTTTAGGATGATTTCCACATTTTTTTTCACTGATAGCCAGTTAAAATGAATGTGCCTAATTAACTTTTTTAAGAATCAAGATGCTATCTAGATGTTTGACCCCAGAATTTTAGTTTTAGATAATACCTTACATTTATTTGTTTATCCCTTATTTTTTGTCAATAAAGTTACTGAAATCTTGTGAATTCAATGTTACAAAGTTAGGTGGGGGCAAAATTGGGATTAAACCAGTCATTCTGAATTATGGAACAGTGTCTTTAACATCTTATGAAGGTCCTTAAATAAGTTGCGCCATTTTTGGTTTTCTCCTTTTCAAAAAGGAATGGAGAGTTTTTCCCAATATAATAGACATGATGCTCCTTCTACAAGCATTATGTGTATGGAAAATCCAAACATTTCTATATCAAAAAAATGGAGATACATCAGAAACCACCCTGATAAATTAGCCAGTCTTTGAGAAACTGGTTGTATACACATTCTAGGATTGCTTCCAAACTGAACAAGATAATTTATTGTTCAATTCATTAGCTATACAAACTCCAACTCTGCATTGGTGGACACTGAAGTTAAATAAAGGAGACATTACAAGTTGATTGTATTCATAGCCTACACTGGCAGTCTAAATGTGAAGCTTCTGATTGGATTGAAGAAGGGTGAGGGAAAGACTTTAATAGCAGTGTCTTTTTATCCCGGCCTTTTTTTTTTTCATTGTTTGTTTATTTTCAAGAGAGAGACAGAGAGACAGCACGAGCAAGGGAGGGCAGAGGGAGAGAGGGAGACACAGAATCCAAAGCAGGCTTCAGGCTCTGAACTGTCAGCACAGAGCTCGATGTGGGGCTTGAACCCACAAACCGTGAGATCATGACCTAGGCTGAAGTCGGACACTTAACCAACTGAGCCACCCAGGTGCCCCCCTCCTTTTTTTTTTTAGTCAAGTTGAGCAGGATTTTGCCAGTCCAGCCAGTAGAAAGGCATTCTGACAAAAGAGAAGGCAAAGTACACAGTGTGGTAGATTGACAAGTAAGCTGCTTGTAGCTAGAATATACTCTTCGTGTGAATAGCAGTGATACGAAATTAAACTGGATTGGTGGGAAGCAAATTGTGAGGTCAGTTTCTAATTATTATAGAAATAAGAAACTAAGAAGTTTGGATAGCCTGTAAGAGACCATTGGGGTTTTTAATGAGAGTGGGAGATAATAACATGATAGGGATCTATGTTTTTAAAGCTCGTAGTAGCAGTTCAAAAGAAAAAGAATTACAAAATTTATCTTAACACACAAAAATTATATTTTGGAATCTGATCATGATCACAGACGTTTCTTCTCTTTATAAATTCATGAGATTTCTTCCTTCTTACCTGTCTTTACCAATATTGCTTTGTTGTCTTAAATATCCTCCAAGTCCCAGATCAAATATCAACTCTTCTGGAATAATCTCTCCTCCCAAATAAGTGCCATTTCTGAATTTCTTGATTCTAAATATCAATCCTCAATCTATTTCCTGGCCTACATCTTTTGGATCTAAAAGAGCCTTGGGGCGCCTGGGTGGCTCAGTTGGTTGAGCATCCGACTTTGGCTCAGGTCATGATCTTGTGGTTCGTGAGTTCGAGCCCTGCGTAGGGCTGTGTGCTGACAGCTCAGAGCCTGGAGCCTACTCTGCATTCTGTGTCTCCCTCTCTCTCTGCCCCTCCCCCATTCATGCTCTGTCTCTCTCTGTCTCAAAAATAAGTAAAACATTAAAAAAATTGTTTTAATAAAAAACATAAAAGAGCCTTTATTTTTGGAAATATTTTTAGTTTCAAAAGTCAGAGACCATTTTCTTTGGCTATTATTATCTTAAAAAGCAGGAAAAGGGACATCCAGTCTTTTATTTGTTAACCAACCAATTTCTATCCAAACTAATGACTTACAATTGATGATAGGACAAAAACAGTAAAAGTATTTTATCCAAAGGTGTGTAGGTATGAGGAATTCTTGAGGCTCAACTATGCAAAGAATGACTGAAGTGTCATCTTTGTGGAGGGTCAGTGTTTTTTCTCAGTATCCAGTTTCCTCAATTTTAGATACTACTTTATAACAAACCCGTGAATGAACTGATCATTTTTAAATGTTTACTTTAAAACCCTGTGACACTTGTCAGTTCTGTCATCTGTTCTACTGATTTCCTTTTCAACTTTCATCTTTCAAAATGAAAATTAATTTCTTTACTAGCTGGTACTTCTGAAGATGTTTTAATTTGCTGACCCGCCCACCAGAACTCTCCTTAGCTGGGAACCTTATCTTTCAGAAATATGGCCAAGAACCAGGAAGAAAATAAAAAAGGACATCTGGCATATAAAATAAAGGCCACACAGGCCATGGGCTGAAATTCCTTTTCTTTTCTCTGTGGAGACTCTCTTAAGATCTTACCAAGAACCTTTTGAAATACTGTTCTTTGAGGTTTAGTTTTTTTGATTTCTCAACCAATAGCAGAAAAATAGTTAACTGGTTAGAGGAGAGCATGCTGCTAGAGATGAGTATGCCCAACAGTAAGAAATGATAGCTGACAAGCTGGCAAAAAACACAAGAATATCTGTAAAGTATACATAAGACCTCAAAGCAAACCTGTGTAAGCTCTTAACATTAACATAAGGATCAGCATTCTTGTACACCTTTATAGTACCTGAAGACATCACTGCATTTCAGTTTAATTTAAATGGTATTTATGCTTTAATGTCCTTGAGTCATCATAGAAGATTTACTTGTATGTTCACTACATTCTGGTAAAGAAGGTAGAGTAATACATGGTAGGCATATTTCCATCCAAAGGGGTTAAAATTAAAATTTGCAGCCATCTAAAATCTCAGCCATCCGAAGCTCTGCATTCCCTGAGGGTTTCATATATTCTGGGTGGTAAGTTCCCACTTAATTCTTTCTGTGCTCTAAATGATTATTACATCAGAACAAGTTTGACAGATTAGTTTTTTACGGTGTAGATGCTCTCAGAGTTCAGTATAAGTTTATTAAGCTTTAGAAATTCTAGAAGTTTAATGATTTCATCTTACTGTACCTTTCTTGAATGGATTTTCCACTGTATTCCTTTCAATAGGTTTATAGATATTTCTTTTTCCCTTAGATTGGTCGGTCAACTGAAAGTCCAATTGATTTTGTAGTAACTGACACAGTTCCCGGAAGCCAAAGTAATTCTGATACACAGTCCGTGCAAAGCACTATATCAAGGTTTGCCTGTAGAATCATATGTGAACGGAATCCCCCCTTTACAGCACGGATTTATGCTGCAGGATTTGACTCATCAAAAAACATCTTCCTTGGGGTAAAAAGCTGTTTTCCTAAATGATGTGTTATTTTATAACCACTTCTGTTTCCAATTTACAAATAAATGGAAGTTCACTATTCTTACTGCTACTAGGAGAAGGCTGCCAAATGGAAGACATCAGATGGGCAGATGGATGGTTTGACCACTAATGGCGTTCTTGTTATGCATCCACGCAATGGGTTCACAGAAGACTCCAAGCCTGGAATATGGAGAGAAATATCAGTGTGTGGAAATGTGTTCAGCCTGCGGGAAACCAGATCAGCTCAGCAGAGAGGAAAAATGGTAAGTATTGAGATGTAGTTTCTTACCTAGGTACAGTAAACTGTACCTAAGGTGAGTTAGACTGAATGTATTACGTATTTACAAAAACTCTTTTTTCTTTTTTTAAGTTTATTTATTTTGAGAGAGAGAGAGCATGAGCAGGGGAGGGGCAGAGAGAAGGAGAGAGAGAGAATCCTAAGCAGGCTCCATGTTGTCAGTGCAAGCCCGACACAGGCCTTGACTCTACAAATTTTGAGATCATGACCTAAGCCGAAATCAAGAGTCAGATGCTTAACCAACTAAGCCACCCAAGGGCCCCTCCAAAAACTCTTAAATCTCTTGCTGACACAAGTCTGACTATAAAACACGGACTACTAAATATTATACTAGAGGATAATATCTGAATGTTTTAATCAAGACACTTGAAAAATTTATTCTTTCATATCATGTTAATATGTTTTAAAACCTAAGCTTTCCTAAGTTAAATAGCACTGTGATTTTCTATTTGTATCTATATCTCTTCGATCATGACATATATTGGAAATATTAGACTTACTGATGAACCACATGTTTTAATCATCTATCGTCTTTACCATAAGGCTGAAAATAAATCTGTTCCTGCTCAAAATTTTACCTTTGGTTTTCAAACTTACATTTTTCATGACTACCATTAGAGTTTCTTCTATTTAGTAACAGTCATAGGAAATCTCAATTCTTGAGTAAGGAGCTTGTAAGACCAAAACTTTCACGTGAAAATTGAAAACACAGTGGTGAATGTGTTTTTTGATTCTTGTTTCCTCTAGGTGGAAATTGAAACCAATCAATTACAAGATGGCTCGTTAATTGACCTCTGCGGTGCAACATTGCTGTGGCGTACTGCAGAAGGCCTTTCCCACACTCCTACAGTGAAGCATTTAGAAGCTTTAAGACAGGAAATCAATGCAGCACGACCTCAGTGCCCTGTCGGGTTCAACACACTAGCGTTTCCTAGTATGAAGAGGAAAGATGTTGTTGATGAAAAACAACCATGGGTATATCTAAACTGCGGCCATGTGCATGGCTATCATAACTGGGGAAACAAAGAAGAACGTGATGGAAAAGATCGTGAATGTCCCATGTGTAGGTCTGTTGGTCCCTATGTCCCTCTGTGGCTTGGATGTGAAGCTGGATTTTATGTGGACGCCGGCCCTCCAACCCATGCGTTCAGCCCATGCGGGCATGTGTGTTCAGAAAAGACAACTGCCTATTGGTCCCAGATCCCACTTCCTCATGGTACTCATACTTTTCACGCAGCCTGCCCCTTTTGTGCACATCAGTTGGCTGGTGAACAAGGCTACATCAGACTTATTTTCCAAGGACCTCTAGACTAACAGACAGTTGTCCTCCAGGACTACATTATAAATTTATAAGCTAAGTGAGTTGGGTTTTCCAACCTGTTGTCCATGTCACAGTTTCTCTGCTCTGGTCATTTGCATTAAGATGAAGAATTTTTTTAAACATTTATAATAAATAGCAACAATTTCTGATCAAAAAATCTGGGAAACTCAAGAAAAGAATTTCTGAAAGTACCAGACTTCTGAATTCTGAGTTTTGAAAATCTATTTTGAGGATAAAAAGACATAGTCTAATTTGTTGCCTTCCTTTTAGTGTTTTTGAATCACCCATCCTCAGTGTTGAAAAATTGTTTTATATAACTGAGGGTACTGTTGGTTCAAACTATGTTAGTTTACAGTTTGTTGCAAACATTGTAAAATACAGCAACGTGTATATTAACTTTTTTCTATTTATCTTTATTATAGAAAATATCTTAGAATGTTCTTGATAGAGTAGCATGGTAACGATGGTGTCACACTCTTGGTGTGAATGGTAGTTTAGCGAGTATAGCTCAAGGATTTGCAAGCTTAGAAAGAAGGACAAGAGAGCCTCTCCCCACCCCCCTTCTAAATATGGAATTTGGTAAATTAGAATACTTTGTAAAACCAAATTCATATTAATTACTATTGTATAAGAGCTGTTTGTTTTTAACCACATTGAATATAATCAGGAAAGTTCTTTTTCTTAATGTTTCTCTCAAGTGTAGTATATAACGAAAACTTAATGCTAAGAAACATTTTATATGCTCCGTTGAATATGCAATTTAATCTAGATTATCTATTTTTCTCCCATGATAACTAATCTGTTTTTAGTACCAGCAACATTTGGCAAGTTTATTTTTTAGATATAAACTGTGGTTCATCTGTTCACTGTTTCTAGAAAAAAATCATTCTCATGAGAAAAAGCATAAATTAACAAGGAAGAGAGTGACTTGATTTGCTTTTAGAAAAAGAAATGCTTAACTAATTGATTATTCTGTATGTGGTCTTACCCAGGCATTAAGAAATCTAGAAAGAGATAAAGGGTTGAATGACAACAGTGCCCCCTTTTTTTTAACCTAGCAGACCAGCCTTAACTGTGTGGGCTTTGAATTCTAAGGAGAGTTGCCACCGTGTGACTCGAGGAAATGTTTGGTTGGCAGATGAGCACCAGTGACAGCCGAGTAGAGGAACATACTTGCACGGTATGTTTATTCTCTAATTCCAATGAGTTCTTTGCTTCAAGAAGCAAGAAAATGTTTCTTCACTCCCTCCCCTCCCCTTTTCATAATGTACCACAAGGGACGCATAGACAGTTGCACTACATCAAACCCTTTGTGACCTTGTAGAAATCAGTACACTTTTAGATTAGACAGGATCTTTTTTTTTTTTTAATCTTCTGATTTGTGTTCCTTTAGTTTGAAAGTTGTGTAATACTTAATTGACTCTAGCAAATTTTTGTATGTGGTAGTATAGCTTTAATTTATCATAACTATTACTATGCTGTTCTGAATTTTCTTTTAGTTTAAAAAAAAAAAAAAACCTGTTGCTTAGAAGCCATGAACTATTTTTACTTTAATTGAACTTGTCAGAATTTCCTTGTTTTTAAAAATGATCATTTGGGTTCACTCAGGAAATGCATGTCAGGAAACTTGTATTATAAGTTTACTAGTTGTGATGTATCAGTAACTGCTGTTATCCCCTTTTCAAAGAAATATAATTGATTTTGAAGTTTTCCACATAGTCACATGCTTTGTGACTAATGCAAGGAAATCAAGTCCTGTGTTGTATTTGTTCTAGTCATTTCTATTCAGGCTATATATTGTAGCTAATTTTTATTTGCAATTAATTTATTCAAACTAAGTAAATACTTTTCAAAATAGATACTTGAATTTGTCTCTGTGAGTTCATTATTGCATAACCGAGAATGGGAAACCAGACACAAAAACTTGTGGACAAATCTACCTCTCCCCCACTTCAAAAATACTCACTTTAAATAGGTGAAGAATTTGCATTTAATGTAACACTTTAAATCGCTGGTCCTCTTGGGAAAGCATCTCTTACTTATTAATAAAGGAACTTTGTGTAGTGGTTGAATAATTGAGGCTTTAGTTAAGTCCTGCTGAGAGTTGGCTCTTTGCAAGTTGAATACTAGACTGTTTACACAGTGCCTCGATGTCCATGAAAGGTCCATGTTCTTCTCAAAGTGCCTGAATTTTCTCCTCCCAACTATGAAAAGTCTGATTCATTTTCTATCAAATTTAAGTTTTGAAAACTCAGGCTATTTAAATCATTAGGTGTTTTTCTGTTCAAGCATTTTGAATATTGGTTCTGTCATTCTGCCTATATCTAATGAAACACTTTTACTTACTCAGTTGTATTAAGGGAATGTCAGTATTCTGGCCAAGGAGAAAAAGTTGTATTTAGGTCTCCCAAAGGTAATCTTTATGGCTTAACTCTTTTAAGAAAGTGATCTAATTATCTAAATACTTCCTTAATTTGTATAGGGAATTTCCCTTCATCTAACATTTTAGGGTCATGAAGCAAGAAAGAGTAAATATCCAGAAGGAGGAGTCTTTTACCAGGCTATCTTCCTGAAGCTGTAATTGCTTACTTCCATCATTTAAAAAACATGCTGACACATGCAAAATAGTATAGGGGTAAATAATCATGTAAATAAATCTATAATTACATCTAACATGAATACTGCTACTCTACTCTTCCCTCAGGATACCTCAAGAACCATGTGTGATGCATGACCTTCTGACATATAGACTGAGCAAGTGAGTGAGGGCACCAATGAAAATCCATCCATTATTTCTTTAAATTTATAAGATAAATATAATTTTAACACTTTGGCCCCTCATTGTGATGGATCATTTTGTGGTATCCCACCTTAGAGACCACTGGCTAAAAGATGGGTGATCCATTCTTTTGTGTTTATGTTCTAAGCATTAACCCGGTAGCAAATGAGATTATCAAAATACTGCTTACTGAACTGCATTATTCTTTCTGTCTCCTACTCCCACTTTCAGAAGTAAGTATGCTTTTAGTCCATGCCCTCAAGTTTTATCCACGAATTCTTGCAACAGATATTTGAATATCTACTATGCACCAAGCCTTGTTCTAAACTTTGGGTGATTTAACAAGAAAAAAATCCCTGCCTTCACGGAGCTCATATTTTAGTGGGGAAGATAGAAATGAGTAAGAAAAATAGAAGATACAGCATGATAGATAGTGAAGAGTGTTGAAGGGACAAATAAAGCAGGGAAGGGAGATACAAAATGTTTTATGTGATGTGTGTGGAATGTTTGCAGTATTAAGTAGGAAGGCAAGGGAAAGCCACATCTAGGAGATTATTTGGGCAGAAGAAGTAGCAATTGCAAAAATCTTGAAGTAAAAGTGTGCTTGGAATATTTCTGTAATAGCAAAACACCAGTGTAGCTATATAGTGTGAAAGGCCAAAAAGGAAAAGTGATAGAGATAAGTGGGGTGTGGGGATGAAACTAGATCATGAGGGGCCTCCTGAGGCTTGGCTTTTATTCTCAGTGAGACGGGGGCAATAGGAGGATTTTGAGCAAGGAAGTGACATGATCTGACTTCTATTTTAATAGATGCAAATAGACCAAAGTGATAGTGGGGAGACCAGTTAGACCATCACAGTAACCCTGGAAGGAAATGATGGTGGCATGGATCAAAGTGGTGGCAATGGGGCTGGTTTGAAAAGTGGACAGAATCAGTATATTTTGAAGGCAGAGCTGACAATATTTGCTGGCAGATCAAACATGGGTTGTAAAAGAAGAGGAGTCAATGACTCGGCTCATCTAGCCTGAGCAACTAGAAGAATAGAATTACTGTTTGAAGTGGAGATTATGAAAATAAAAGTTTGGGGGGAGGGTGTATTGCTTGTGGGATCAGGAACTTAGCCTTGGACGGACGTTAGATGGAGACTCCCTGTTAGACAAGTTATTTGCCAAAGGTAAACTGTCTCTGCTTTTTTAAGGTGCTGTCAAAGTTCTTAAACCATCATGATCAATGTTCTCCATATACACTGTGCTACCTTAGAAACAAAAAAGTATTTCTCCTGATTAATGGCAAACTTCCTTTCACTGAAATAGAGAGTCGGGACACCTCTCATGGTTCTCTTTGTTTCAGCTGCCTTCTGAGGAAATGAAGTTCTGTTTTCAACTACAGTAACTTCCTTTAGCCAATGTATCCTAATACAGTTTTTCTCCCTTCTCATTATGTACATCTTTTTCCTTAGGTCTTGCCTTAAAAACAAAAAAAAAAAAGTCCTATTTTATTGAATCTTAATATGTTGCGCTTCAAATTCTTACCGTGGCAAAGCACAAGTTGTGTTTGGTTTTTTAAAATCTTTTTAATATGCAGGTGTTGATGGAAAACAAAGAATTCTTGAACCTCTCTCTAAGTCCAGCTTCCCTTAAAGAAATATGCCTGTATTTGATAATACTGTCAGCAAAAAATGGAGTAAATAAGATAAGAGTTTTCCTAGTGAGTGTTGTAAAGCATCACATCCAAATCCAAACATTCTCTTAAATGATATGATGCGAATGCTGGTGTCTTCAGGCTGACATTAGATTGTAAATTCAGCTATGTATGTTAAACCACAGCATAAAATAAATTCCTCACAGCTAACATTTGAGTATTTGTTATGTGTCAAGCTCTGTTCTAAATATACAGTTTTAAGTATATTAATTAAAGCTCAAAACAGCCCTGTAAGGTAGGAACTCTTGTCTCCTTTTCACAACAAAAACCAGGCACAGCATTATCTAGGAACTTGCCCGAGGTTCATATGGCTCATGAGTGCAAGAGTTGGAATTTGAACCTTTGAAGTCTTGCTCCATACCTGTGTATGCAACTACCATATTTGCTCCTTCCCCCTTTTTCACTGAGTGGGATCTGAAGTCTATGTCTTGCACAGTTTTTAAAAAATGATTTCAGGTAGCAAACCAAAATTGTAACTAGGAAGATTAAACATCAAAATTTTTTAAAAGAATAACAACAAAAAAGGTTTGGTATTATAACAAAATAAGATAGAACCAGAAGTGGCATGAATAGATTTAATGAAGACCTATAAACTTGCTAAATGTGAGCCACAAATCAGTTTAGCACAAAGGTGTTCACAGGTTAAACATGATTAGTTATAAGATCCATGCAGCTGCCTGGAAGGTAGCAACAAATTCACTGATGCAGAAACTCATGATCATTTCTAGTCCTGCAACCAGAAAAATTCACATCCAGGATGTAGTAGCATCACTTCACATAGGTGGATTCATGAAGTATTTGTCTTTTTGTGACTGGCTTGTTCCACTTAACATAATGTCCTCAAGGTTCATCCATTTTAATGCCTATTGCAAAATTTACTTTTTTAAGGCTGAATTGTATTCCAGAGTATGTATATACTATTTTTTCTTTATTAATTCACCTGTTGGGCATTTGGATTGTTTCCATGCCTTGGCTCCGAGGGGACAGTGCCACAGTGAACACGAGAGTGCTAATTGTTTGTTAAAGACCCTCATTTCAATTCTCTTGGGTAACTACCCAGAAATGAATGGGATGGCTGGATAATATGGTAGTTATATTTTTAATTTCTTGAGGAATTAAAAAAATTTTTTTTTGTTTTCGTAGAGGCTGCAACATTTTGCATTCCCACCAGTACTGTGCAAGGGTTCCAATTGCTCTACATCCTTGCCAACACTTTGTTGTCTTTTGTATTTTGAAAATAGTCAACCTGACATGTGAAATGACATCACATTGTGGTTTTGATTTGCATTCCCTGATGATTAGTGACATTGAGCATTTTTCATATACTTGTTGGCCATTTGTATATCTTCAGAGAACTAGATATTCGAGTCCTTAGCCCATTTTTTAATTGAGTTACTAGGGTTTTTTACTATTGAGTTCTAAGAGTTTCTTATATATTTTGGAAATTAAGTCCTTATCGGATATGGTTTGCAAATAAACTCTTATTTCACAGGTTGTCTTTTCGTTTTGTTGTTTACTTTGCTGTGCAAAAGTCCCACTTGTTTATTTTTGCTTTTGTTGCCTGTGCTTTTGGTGTCCTGTCTGCTGCTTCCCCACGTTAACACACTGAAGGAATTCTTTCCCAAGCGGATGAGCTATCATGGCCTGTCAGAAACTATTTCTTAGGTAATTGTAGGAAACTGTTAGAACTCTGAACCATTAAGCTACCAAAACACTCTGTAAGTAGGAGCATTAACAAAAGCAGTCAAAAGAAAGAAGTTTGTGAAGCTATTTGATCAGAAAATGTGTCAATAAGTGACAATAAGTAGGTGACCTGGCAACAAGAAGAAGCCCATAGATGATGACAGAAGAGAACAAAAAAAGATTCTCCTGGAGAGAAGAGAAGGAATATCGACATAGCCTCAAAGCATGTCATCCAGACTTGAAAGCTTATCATTGGTCCAAAAGGCACAAAAAGCAATCCAAGATTGAAAGGGGAAACTAAGGTCTGTCTGCCTTGGAATTTCCTGAAGTTCTACTATATCTTATTACTGTGTAGCTGTTAATAAAAATACAGAATATGAAACTAGAAGAGATCTTGGCAATCAAGTTACAGTTGAGAAACCAAAGCCTAACCAGACAATGTGACTACCGACTGATAAATCTGGTACTAGAACTTCTGTTTCCTATGTCCATCCTAACACAGGATCTTGAGTCACCAAGATTTGGTTAAATTCCCAAGTTTTGTTTGTTGAAGCATAGACAACTGTGTTGCACTTTAATTGTTTTTATTTTTAAATTAAAGGTGCCAATAGTGCCAATAGAGTCAAAAACATCAACTCTTGTTGTGATATATAAACAGTGATTCCCAATTTTAGAGGATAGTGTTTCAGAAATCTTTCAACTAGAAGGCTGCCTGCTTTGTAAATGAAACACAAGAATAGGAAGTGAAAACCAAAGCCTTGTGCAGTACTTTCACTAATAGCCCCTTAGTACTCTACTTGAATCATTCAGCCAACATGAGTGTTCACTCAAATGACAAGGCTCTTATTTTACTTTTTCTGTTTATTGTGAAGTAAGCACAATTGTTTTGCATACCACACCTCTGCAAGAATGCAACACATTCAGATACTCCTCGCTTTCAATTGGCTTGTCACATGACCTTTGGAAAAGGAGTTATTTGAAATGGTGATTGTAATGTTTCATTAAAATGTTAAAATTACTATGCCAGGCAACTCAAGATCTTTTTTTTATCCATGATATAATCGAATAATAATAGCAACCCAAACCCTAAGTGTCCATAAAGTTGTCCAAAGCCTGACTTCAGGAGGGACAGATCCCTACGTGGAGAGACAGTAGTTGAATTGGGCTAGCTGTACAAGGAATAAAGAAGGAATTTCCCACAAAATGACTATCCAAGGTCTACAGTAGGTAAGAGCTCCCAAAGCTGGGCTGGGCTGGGCTGGGCTCAGGTGCACGTGCAGAGGTATAGCGGGAGGAATTTCCCACTGTGGGTCTTGGTAACATGTTAGGATCCCTAAAGTAATTATTTCCAAAGTTGAGTGTAAACAGGGATTGGGGATAGGTAGGGAATGATAGGAGTGCCCGGGTGCCCAGTTGGTTAAGCATCTGGCTCTTGGTCTCAGCTCAGGTCATGATTTTACAGTTTGTGGGATCAAGCCCCACATAGGGGTCTATGCTGTCAGTGCAGAGCCCACTTGGGATTCTCTCTCTCTGCCCCTCCCCTACTCACCATTTCTTGAAATGAATTTTTAAAAAAAGGATAGGGGATGACAGAATTTGTTGTGCACCCCCCAAACCATAATTATCCATACATCCAGGTGTGGATATTATAGGAAGGAATCATAACATCAAAAGATTGGCAGTTTCTTAGAGCTCTCTGTCTCTCTCTCTGTCTCTGTCTCTCTGTCTCTGTCTCTCTCTCTCTCTCTCTCTCTCTCTCTCTCTCTCTCACACACACACACACACACACACACACACACCCCAAACAGCTGCTTCCAATTATAGAATATAGCTTCTCAAGGTGACTTTTTCAAAGAACCAGTGTTCACCTGAGTGTGTAAATTCTAACACACTCATTAGTGTAATTTCTATATTAGCCACACTGCGTGAAGGCAAATGTTGATTTTACTCAGAACTCAGCGACAGCAGGAATCCCTGAACGAAGTGTTGGTATCCAGTCACAGAGGTAACGATAGAACTATGAAATGAAGCCGTGATGTGATGCTATGAAAGTCAAAGATACTGCTCTGGAGACGTGGCCTTTTGCAGAGAAGCACTAAAAGAACATTTACCGCTTTGGCATGTGCTATTGGAGTTTAAAAGTTTGAGAGTTTACAACCCAGAGTTTGTTTAAAAGTGCTTTCATGGTTTCATTATTACTACTGACTTCAAATATGGCCATATTTATTTACCAAAGTGTTTTAATTCCTTTAGAAATACAAAAAGACCATTGAAAATATCTGGGTGGGATTTCACAAACACAAGGAATTCTTCAGACAAGGCTTGAGTCCAAACCTTAATCCAGTCTGGCCTCAGATACTAGTCCTTAGATGTTTTTTATCAGAGCAGGTAACAATGAGCAGTTATTCACTGTAAATAAACTAGAGACTCAGTGAGGGGAGTTCGAAAATACTGAGATAAGAAGTCCCCCTTTGGAGAGGATCCAATTATACTGAATTTCCTGTAATTTTGTAACATGCTTTTATGTTTAACTCCTTTGCTCTATTGCAGTTAGGAATCTCATTACCTGCTAACCCATGGGAATAAGATAATCCAACTCTTTGGCATCAATAAACTAATACTCATTCTACCTCGCCTTAGTCCCGTAGGACTTTGGTGCTGGTCCTTTGTGTGGAATTAGACTTGTCAGAGCAGATGGCCCCAGATTAGTAGATGTATGGCCTCTTCATTTGGAGAGATCAGAAGCCTCTTCGGAATGTAACAAAACCAAAGAATCTTAAAGAAGTTATAAAATTATCTTCAGTTTAAGAGTTTTTTTTGTTTGTTTTTAATCAGTGGCTGATGAAAAGGATATTCTAAGTTATTCATAGCTGAAATGCTTCTGAAAGGGTCTGGTTTGAGGTGCAGAGTTCAGGGCAATGATGCAACTTGAGAAATCCCCTAACGGGTTCCAAGAAGCCACCCCTATGAGCCTGTATCAGAATTTAGTTCTATGTTGATTTGTGACAACAGTGTGAACATGTTTTTGATCTGCATGGGCTTATTATGCTGGGAATTTGAATAGTGGATCTTAACCTTTTTATGTATTTCTTCATTATGATGGATTAAGCCTGCTTACCCGTGAAATATACTACAAAATGGGAGAGACACGAATGAAAGAATTGATACATGTAGTAGTTTGAATTTTTACTCTGAGAATATTACATTAACTTTATGATGATAATATACCATTATCATTGTTCATAACAGCTGACACTTTGATGAGCTACCAGTTAATCTTCTGGATTCCGAAATAAATACCCTTGGTCTGATTCACAAGTATACCTGTAACCACCAGGATCCACTAGAGATGATTTACATGGCAACAAGTGAGAACACTTCCAGGAAATCTAGTTAGTGACTTTGCTTTTTTTTTTACAGTTTCTCCTTATGTAGAAAGGTGATAGAAGTCTTTATTTGGAGAACTA